AACCCTGTCATGCCGACTTAACACAAATATGTGGCCTCACAGAATTGGGCTTTTTTCCGTGGGGCCGCATATCTGCATACCTGTCTTTGTGCTGGGAGCGCGATGCCCAGTACGTTCCCAGCACAAAGACCGGGGTGTCACTGAGAGCCCCTGGTTCTGTTCTAACGACTGTGACCCAGGACTCCCGATTCCGGGTCACATGATTGGTGTGATAGCCTCTGGTTTTCACAGTGATCAGGTCACTGTGAAGCACGCCCCCCTTGGTTTCTTTTCTCTCTGAATGGAGGAGAGAAAAATACCTTGCATCTCTCTCTCTCTCCTTGAAGAGAGAAAAAAACCCAACTGTTTGTAAAAAAATAAATATTAAAAAATAAAGGAAAAATACCTAGATCAAAATTTGATCTAGTTCAGTGCCAGGGTTAGTGTTTGGGCCAGAGTCAAATGTCAAGGTCAAAGTGAAAGGTCAGGTTTGTTTTTGTATCAGTGTCAGTGTTTTAGGTAAAAAAAAAAACAAAACAAAATGCACACTATTGTTTCTGGGCTGTAGTACAGGTACAAAAAAAACCAAAAAAAAAAAACCACACATATACGATATTGCTGCGATTGTCAGGAGCTGGAAATGTTATTTTGGGCTGTTCTTTGGTGGTAAGTTCTGGTAGTAACAAGAAACGCACAGCTAAATAAAAAAAAATGTTTTTTTTTACTATTGTGGGCCAGTCTTCCGTTGATAAAAAAAAAAATATCAGGAGATATCCATTACCATTTACCACCAAATGAAAGCCCAATTTGTCCTGAAAAAAAAGGTATAATTCACCTGGATGTACAAAGTAGTTGTGATGATATGTACGGTTTTACTAACACGTCAACGTTGTAAAATTTTACCTAGGCTTTGTTTTACCCTTATTATTATACAGGATTTATATAGCGCCAACGGTTTGTTCAGCGCTTTACATTATAGTGGGAGACAATACAGTAACAATACAAGAGGGATTTGAGGGCCCTGCTCCTTGGAGCTTACAATCTAGGAGGGCGGGGTGAATGGTACAGTAGGTAGTAACTGTAGGGGATGGATTGGTTGGAAGAGTAGAGGATTCCAGAATTAGCAGAGGGCGGGATAGGCTTCCCTGAAGAGATGGGTTTTCAGTGATCGCCTAAAGGCAAGTAGAGTAGGTGAAAGTCTGATAGATTGGGGTAGGGAGTTCCAGAGGATGGGTGACACCCTGGAAAAGTCTTTGAGACAAGCATGGGAAGAGGAGATAAGGGAGCTAGAGAGTAAGAGGTCTTGCAAGGAGCGGAGTGTACGGTTTGGGTGATATTTAGAGATAAGATCGGTTATGTAAATTGGGCAGTGTTGTGGATGGCTTTATATGTCATTGTTAGTGTTTTGAATTTTATCCGTTGGGCAACTGGGAGCCAGTGGAGGGATTGGCAGAGAGGGGTGGCGGATACAGAACAGTTAGTGAGGTTAATGAGTCTGGCAGCAGCGTTCATGATAAACTGGAGGGGGGATAGCCTGCAATGAGGTAGGCCAATGAGGGAGTTACAGTAGTCAAGACGTGATATGACATGGGAGTGAATAAGTTGCTTAGTGGTTTCCGGGGTTAGGAACGGTCGTATCTTGGAGATGTTGCAGAGGTGAAGTCTACATGATTTTGTCAGCAACTGGATCTGGGGCTGGAAGGACAGATGGGAGTCTAGGATTACACCTAGTAGGTTGAGTTTGAGGAAGTGGAGTGACATCCAAGCCGATATGTCGCTTAGTAGGCTAGTGATGCGGGTGAAAACTGAAGGGATGAGGTGAGGGGTAGACAGATTTGCATGTCATCAGCATAGAGATGGTAATTGAAGCCATGGGAGTTTATCAAGTGACCAAGGGAGAAGGTGTAGATGGAGAAGAGAAGGGGTCCAAGAACAGAACCTTGAGGGACCCCTACAGAGAGAGGGAGTGAGGAGGAGGTGGCAGCGTTATAGGTAACACTGAAGGAGCGCTGCAATAGGAGAACCAGGAGAGAACGGAGTCACTGAGGCCAAAAGAGTGTCGTTTTTGAGGAGTGGATGGTCAACCGTGTCAAAAGCCACGGAGAGGTCGAGTAGTAGGAGTATTGAATAGTGGCCGTTGGTTTTTGCAGTTAGTAGGTCATTAGAGAGTTTTAGTAGGGCAGTTTCAGTGTAGTGTAGAGGGCGAAAGCCAGACTGTAAAGGGTCGAGAAGGTTGTTGTCAGTGAGGTGGGAGCTCAGACGATTGTGGACTAAGCGTTCTAGGAGTTTAGAGGTAAATGGCATCAGGGAGATGGGTCTAAGGTTGTTCAGGTTGGTGGGGTCTAGGGAGGGTTTTTTAAGCATGGGAGTGATGTGCACATGCTTTAAAGGGGAGGGGAAGGCACCTGTAGAGAGGGAAAGATTGAAGATGTGAGTGAGGGAGCATAGGATGGAAGAGGAGGGTGAGCGAAGGAGTTGTGAGTGGACAGGGTCCAAGGGGCAGGTGGTGAGGCGGGCTTCCAAGAAGACCTTAAGGACCTCTTCAGTGTAGCGAGGTCAAAGGAGGAAAGTGTTGAGGGAGGTATGGTATGAGGAATGCTAGGTGGGGTGGGTGTCTGTGTAGTGGCGATGTCCCTACGAATTGCGTCAATCTTGTTTTGGAAGTGGTGTGCAATCTTGTGGGCAGTAAGTGAGGCGCTGGGTGGCAGTGGAGAAAGTAGAGAGTTAAAGGTGAAGAGCCAACGAGGACTCGAAGAGAAGGTATTAATGAGGGTGACAAAGTAAGCTTGTTTGGCAGCATGAAGGGAGAAAGTGTATGTTAGGAAGGTAGATTTATAACGGGGGAACGCTTGGTGGGATTTGGTTTTACGCCATAATCGCTCCAGCGCACGACTGTTTCGTTTGAGATTTCGGGTGTGGTCAGTCTGCCAAGGTTGTAGAGGTCAGGGCCTGATGCTTTGTGTTGTTAGGGGAGCAAGTGAGTCTAGAGCAGATGAAAGAGAGTTGTTGTAGACAGCAGTGGCCAGGTCTGGGCAGGACGGGGTTCATGCTGTCGTAGAGCTGGTCAGTTGCAGAGTGGAAGGGAGTCGGGTATAGGTTTCGGAGATTTCTGCAGGTAATTGCTGTTTAGTGGGGTAGGTGTTGGAGGACGAGGAGACTGTGAAGGTGATGAGATTGTGATCAGAGAGGGGAAATGGGGTGTTTAAGAGGTTACAGGAGTACAGTGGTGAAAGAAGACAAGGTCTAAGGTATTCCTGTCAGAGTGAGTGGAGGACTGTACACTGTGCTAGTGTACAAAAGAGGTTATGTGGAGGAGTTGTGATGTAGCCGGGTTATTGACGTTAATAGGGATGTTGAAGTCTCCCGAGGATGATAGTGGGTAGCTCAGAGGAGAGAAAGTAGGGTAGCCAGGCGGCGAAGTCATCAACAAAGCGGGAAGGGTTTAAGAAGGTTTACCGCCAGTCAGGGGCGTCCCTAGGGTTGGTGTCACCCGTGCAGTAACACTTTGTGACACCCCCTCCGACGATCCCCACAGAATGGATTGGATCTGCAAATTGAGAATAATGGGTTGGACTCCGATCCATTATGTTCCCCAATCCGCAGATCCGATTAATCCTGCAAGGATCATTGGCTTACGTTGCAATTTACCTTTTTGTGGAGCGGGTCCAGTGTCACCCCGTAGAAGTTGCATGCCGATGATCCCCGCAGGATGGTTCGGATCTGCGGATTGAGCATAATGGATCAGAGTCCGATCCATTATGCTCCCCAATCTGCAGATCCGATTCCATCCTGTGGGGATCGTCGGCTTTCTTCACAACTTACCTTTTTGTGGAGCGGGTCCGGTGCCACCCCATGCGGTAGGTGTCACCCAGTACGGCATGCACCCCCTGGCACCTGCCTCAGGATGCCACTATCCACTATTAGGTATATCGGACTAGAGGGACTTCTTCCTACCCACCCACCTATGACCAGTGACTGATCCAGTCAGTCCAGTGCAGTCTTCAGCACAAACAAGATACCTTACCTAAACAGGCAGTCTATTGGTAAAGGTGAACTACACCTTTAATGGGGTTGTAAAAACCACAACTTCGCCACCTATTTCCTACTTTGCCTCAAGCCAAAGGGAGTTAAACACTGAAAGTTCTGCTGGAAGTGATAGCGCTTTACACAAGGCAAGACTTCCCTCCTCGCACCAAGAGCTCCACATTACATAACCACCCAGTCCAGCCCCTACTAATGTATCAAAGAGGACCGTCGCCATGGTTTCCTTTAGCACTCCTAACCTAACCTCTCTCCGCACATTCCAAGGTCAGTCAGGCTCCCGCGCTCCCACACTCCCCGTACTTTACTGTTCTACAACGTTCTGCGCACAAGTTCTACGACCAGTGCCGCGCAAAGCATGCCGGGCATTGTAGTCTCCGCGGTGGCGCCGAGAATCCCGCCCTGCCTCTCTTTGGTTAACGCTGCTGCTTGGACTGGGAACGCAACACGGCCACATCGGGCGAGTTCTTCCGATAGCTCCACCCCTGCCTGTGATTGGCTGAGTAAGTGTTAAGGCGTTAGGTGATTGGACAAGGGATGTCCGGCTCGGGGCCTGGGATTTTGCTGCTGGCTTCCGGAACTGAGTTAACCCCAGCGGGCGGCGGCGGAATAAGGTGAGGTTAGGGTGGGCTGAGCCGGTTTAGGATGCCGTCCAACTTCTTTATAGACCGTAAAGTGGGCAACACACAGGGGGTCCGCCAGTGTACAGAATAGTGACTACTCTGCACTGTACATCCAATGACCCATGTCACAAGGGATACCGGCAGATGCTGGTGATATCTCAGGACTTGGGAACCAGACTCACACTCCAGCGGAAGAGCCAAGTCTCTGTAACTGAGCCCAATGAGGGATCACTATCCCAGTCACATGACTGAAAACAAAGATGTCTGTCCTTGTGTAGAGCTGTGTGAATTGAACCTATACTGGCAGTATGTGTAAGTCATTGTGTGGTTTTACTTCTAGTGTTCTAAGAGTATAAAATGAAGGACCAGGAAATGCAGAACAGCACAAACCCCGAGCTTCCCCAGAGCTCCTCCACTCCGTCACCCAGCCAGCAACAAGATCCAACGCTCTGCGGTACATCTGATCCAAGTGGTCCCACCACCCCTGGCACCGAAGGTAAGATGTGCATTGCATCCCTTCTGGAACTTTCTTTTTCAGCTTACTTCCACCTTGCAGTGTATTCTTATTCAGGACCATTTCTGCCTCTTGAAATGGTTTAGTAAGGCAGAATGTACATTTTCTTGCTACCATTGGACTCCCATGGTGGTGCTTGTCCAGTGTTTTGGTTGCAAGCAAATTGGAATTCACTTTGCAAGTCAACACTGTGGGAGGGGATTTACTAAGGCCTGTTTCACCCGGGCTTCAGCTTGTATAGCAGAAGTGTGAACAGCAAGCGTTGACAGAGCATCTGCACAGCTTTCAGCAATCTTTGTTGAAGCTTTTAGGCTACATTCAGACTTGCAATTGGGAAGGGGGAGTGGAGGTAAAAATGCTCAGTTGAGCTGAGATTTTGCCACCTGCCAGCTCCCCCCCCCCCCCCCCCCCCCCCCCCCCCCCCCCTTAAAAGAGAAGTATGGTAATTTTTAAAAAATCATACTTACCTTGGTAGATGCAGCATCAGAGCGATGCTGCATCTGTCCCCCACCGACTCTAAGGGTGAGAACTCGGTGATCACATGACCACTAATCACTGTTTAGCTATGGGTCTGGAAGTGAGGGAAAATCTCCGCAATGGGACAGAAATGGCAAAAAAAAAAAAAAAAATCCAGACAGGAGTTATAACCCTCCCTTATTCTATCTGAAATGGAAAAAAAAAAAAGCTTTGCCTATCGTTCTACTTTAATCTGCAGTGGACAGCTGACAAGGTTACATGCCACAGACATGATGCTTTGTGCCTGCAGCAAACTTTGCCTGATGTGTAGCGATTGGTAGGCAGCAAGCCAACGCTACACATTCAAGTAAATGGGGAAGTGCCACAAACGCCCCACAACGCATGCAATGCACATGGTTGCAGGGCATTTGCTGGCAAAAATGGGGTTAAAATAGGTGAAGAGGCATTGCGACGCTTCCTCACTGACTGTTAGTAGCCTCTGCAGCGTGAACCGAATGCAGATCGGTTTTCAGAGGCAAGAGGGATTGACACACGTGCACATCTACCCCAAATGCACCATTCAGTGCCAGTTTGTAAATGTTGAACAGAGATCATAATGGGAGTTATGATTGACACTTTAAAAGAGGCTAGCAGGCTTCACCACTACTTGAAGCTTATTGAAAGCTTGTTTTTAAAGTGACAGTCAACTCCTCTATTAGAATCTGTATTCAACATTTACAAACTGGAGTTGAATGGTACATTGAAAGCTTCAGCAAAGCTTGTTGAAAGCTCTGAAAATGTTTTGTCAAAGCTTGCTGTTTACACTGCTCTTATACTAGCTGATATCTGTGTGAAACAAGCCTAAAACTAGAGCCTACACAGAACGTGGAGCAACTGTGCATGGCAACCACTTGGCTTCTTTAGTGCAGCTACATTTGCACAGGTATTTTGCCACAGTGCATCCAGCAGAAATCACCTACACTAAAAGGGGTAAATGTTCATTTAGGTCTACAAGATTGGAAAAAGCAGTGTTACTTATCTGATTCTGCATTCCCACAGGGTCCCACCAGACTGCTAGACTGGTCCCCGCAACCTCTTTTGCCCTATGTTTGGTGGTTGTGGGTTCTCTGATGTCAAGTACAGTGCCCATAGCCCTACATTGGATGCTAGGATGCCAAGAAGCAGTCTGCCACTGGAGTGTAAGGGAGTAGAAGAAAATTTAAGTAAAACTGCTGTTCTCAGTGCCCTAGACCAAAATGAGCATTTAAATCTTGCAGTGCGGGGGACAACTTGACTCCAAGGGAAGATTTTTACTTTCCTCAGAGATGGGTTTTAAGTGGGTATCTAAAGCTAAAGTCTTTTCTAATTTTTTAGAGTGGTGACTAATCCTCACATATGTCAGGTTTCTGTTACTGTCCGTGTTCCCATAGACAGGAATAATTCTCTTTATTTTGTTCTGGTGACCTTTGTAACTGGGAATGAAAGTGATGGCAAATCAAAAATTGAGTTGTCACCGGAATAGAGGGTAAAATAGTCCAATGGGGACATTGTGGTGACAGCTGCATAAAAGAGGACCTTCCTTACTGTGGAGAGAATTTTATCTGTTGTGTTTCCAAGACAAGACACAAAGGGAAATCTCCCCCAGTAGGTTGCAGATCCCAAACAAAAAAACTTGGCTGTGAACACACATATTAGGGCAGTCCTTTCCCAAAGGGATTGCTCACACATTTTCCACTCTTATTAGTGGGTATAGCTAGAGATACCAATCTTAAAAACAACCACTATTACCTGCGCTTACCTTCTCCCTCTCACATTACCCACCAGTAGTAGTCTGTGAGTGTATATTCAAAATAACACACAAATCATTTCCACCTGATTATTAACTAGCAATATGTTTATTATTATACAGGATTTACATAGCGCCAACAGTTTGTGCAAAAAATGAAGGTAGACATTACAGTTACAATACAATTTGGTACAAGAGGAAACCGGGGGCCCTGCTCGTTAAAGCTTACAATCTAGGAGATCCCACAGTGAGTTTTTTTTCCAGTTGAATAGGAATAAAAATATGCTCAATATCCCAGGTCACGTTTATTATTGCATAACAAACAAAACTACTTGTATTGGATTCGGCAATTATTCAATATTAACCCCTTGGCGCCGAGCGTACGCGCAAATTATCGACCCCCACTGGACTCTGCTTTTTTCCATGGAGCCACTAATTTGCGTACCTGTCTTTGTGCTGGGAGCCTGCCACACGGCACGCTCCCTGCACAAAGACCGGGGTGTCAGTGTGAGCCCTGGGTCCTGTTCTAATGATTGGGACCTGGAGCTTCTAATTCCAGGTCACACGATCGCTGTGAAAGCCTCTGATTGGATATCACAGTAATCAGTCACTGTGAAGCCCACCCTCCTTGTTTTCTCTCTTGAATGGAGAAGAGCGATACATTGTATCTTTCTCTCCTTTTCAGAGTGAAAAAAAGTGTTTGTAAAAAAAAAAAGGATACAACTACATTCAAAAAAAGTTTGTTTTTTTTTCTACTATTTTGGGTCAGTTTTCCTTTGATAATAAAACCAAAAAAAAAATCAGGAGATATCCATTACCATTTACCACCAAATGAAAGCCTAATTTGTCCTGAAAAAAACAAGGTATAATCCACCTGGTGAGTTGTGGTGATAATGTACAGTTTTGCTAACACGTGTCAAAGTTGCAAAATTGTGCTTAGGCTTTAAGATTTGTTTTACCTTTAGGCGTGAAGGGGTTAACAACCACAGCACTTGTAATATGCACTGAAGTCACTCTTCTTGTGTGTCTCTCCACACTTGTAACAATGCCACCACGATATTCCAGCATCTTCACCATATAAAGATCTTCCTTGCTTATCCCATCCACCCCTCTTTCATATTGGCTTTAGCGTTCTTCATTTAATTCACGAGGAGGGTGCATTTTCCTGTCCTGCCAGTTACTCAGACACTTAGTCTGTTACTCAACTGAGTGCAGGTCAGGGACTCCACTTGGTGGTAATGTAAGACGAAAAGGGAAGTGCTGGCAATACAAGTTGTTTATAAGATTGGTATCAATACCAGGCAGTAGTGTAACCCTTCCCTACTCTATCCAAAACTTAAAAAAAAGGTTTCAAAATTAGATCTGTTAAAAGGCAAATTGCAGTAACAAAGAGCAGGATGGTAGTTCAGACTTTCTAAATCTGTATGCTTGCTTTACATTAGTAAATCAAAGTATTAAAGTCAGGGACAGCCATCATTTTTCAGAATAAGGTCATTAATGGCAGAATTTTAATTTCTCTCAGTACAGGTGTCTTTCAAACGTGCAACAATTTTGTATGTTTCCATTCTGAGTGTTTCATTGTTCTGCCCCAGCTGCACACTAGAAATATTCAGGCTGGGTCTAATCCATGGCTGTATAGTGCTATATTGTGAACAGAACCTTAAAGGGTGGCCTGGTTTGAGGAAAAAAATATGGCAAGTAAAAAAAAAAAAATGTGGCATATGCAATTACTCCACAAGTCATATAGTAATTTCCCGTTCTTAAAAATGACATTCCCTTTCAATCTGCAGCCAATGTAAGTTTCTAAAAATTCAAAGCAATATGGCTCCTGGAGACATACAGTTGGTATACAGAACACGTCCAGAAATGTAATTTGCTGCTTGTGTGAGGAACTCTGCCTTAATATACAAATCGGGTTTTAGGCCTCCTCTGGGACAAAAATGCCATTTTTGGTGAGATACTCACATCTAAGGGAATACAGACACACTAGATTTTGGCTGGATATTCATTATGCAGTTTTCTTTCCTTCAACCATAGGTTGAAGGAAAGAAAATCGCTTGATTCCCCCATCAACACATTAATAGGGGAATCCCTCCTGCTGCCGCTGTTGTATTCTGACAGTGGGAGGTTTCCCCGTAGTCAGAATGCATGATCACGGCCGCTGGCAATAGCCAGTGGCAGTGATCGTACAAAGAAAACCCAACAGGCTGGATGTACTGAAGCTGATCAATAGATCAACCTTAGTACAATGAGCCTGCCCATAGATGGATGGACATTTGGCCAGTTCCTGCTGAATTTCATTCTGCCTATGGCCAGTTTTTTCTCATCTGAGCACTCCAAGTGCACCAACTGAATACAGTTAATTAGTCTCCCATTCAGAAACAGTATCCCAAAGACAAAGAAAAACTGCTTTTTCTTCAGAGCAACAAAATGTAGGAATCCCTAACAAAATTTGTTAAAATCACTGCAATGTACATTGATCGCCCAGGAGGAGAATTTTTTTACTTAAAAAAAAAAAAAAAAAATGGTATTACTCTTTAAGGCCGCTCATAAATATGTCAATTATTTTAGAGTGGAGGTTTTTTAAGGCCTATTATGGCAACATTTTGGGCACCAAACAGCTGAATACTACAGATTTAGCTCTCAAGGAAAGAATCTCTGTAGTTTTTGTTGTTCTTGTGCAGGAGAGGGAGCCATCTGTCATCCTCCTGGTGTGTGTGATGTGTCAGAGGAGCTAAGCCGGCAGTTTGAAGACATTTTAAATACATATTGTGTGGATGCTGGTCAAGAAGGGGTTGCAGATCCTGAAGAGACTGACAAAGGTCCTCCAGAATCTAGGAATGGAGAAGCAGAAACAGTGGTGCCAGAGGTCAATGGAGAAAAGGAGGAAATGCGAGGTGCAGAAGACAATAGAACTATTAATGAAACGGACAAAGATCAAAAGCGTGTACAAGATAAGAAGAAATCAAAGGGGCTTGGTGAGTAATGTATTATTGTGCTAGCTTTTTGTTGGCGCAACATAAATGGAACATGTTTAAAAGTTTATTCTAGTCAAAATTAAAAACAAACTAAGGATTCCTACAAGGAGCAAAGCTTACCTGCTCAGTATTTCAGGTTTTCATCCATGCATTGCTGTAGTTTATCAAGCCACCATCTCCTACTTGTCAATATTCTGGTGATCTAATAATCCCTGTTTATAAAGCAGGATTGCTTTTCCCAAACACACTTTATTGCAGACTCCTTGCAATGTCTCCCATGCAGAAAGCCTTATATATGGCTCTTCCAGCCATTAACCAGATTCCAACCATCCTTCACATTTTATTGTGATTGGTGATATGGTTAACAGAGAGAGAAAGTTCTAAAGCACATATTTTGAATTACAAAATCCTATTGAAGAACGCCACTAAATATGAAAAGAAAACGTAGGAGGAACATGTAATGTAGTAATTTTATACATATTTCTCTGGCATCCAAGGAAGAATGTGCTGGAATTGAGCATGTGAAGCAATGGTAAAAATTGCTCAGTGGTAAAATTGAAGTTTGGATTGCTCTCTGTCCAGTACCACAGAAATAAGTATACATTACAGTATTGCCCTTAATACCGACAAGGTTTTTGTCACTTACTTTGAGGAGTTCTCTCCTGGAGTAAATTATGTGAACACTCAAACCCAGTATGAAAGGGGAAGCAAATCCTACAGAGACATATATTTGACGAGGCTCATCTCATTTAACTACATATTGATGGCAGTACTGGACAGTTTTTCATCTTGTAGAACAAGAGGACTTCTATGTGGATAATTTCTTATTGGCCAGTTCTTTTTTGCTGTCATGCTATTAACATAACGACATAAAAAATTGACGATAGAAAAAGAGTGGTCCATCGAGTTTGGCCGTTTTTTTTTTTTTTTTTCGTGGGGGGTTTTTTATTTTTCTGTTAACTGACTCACTACCCCTGCTAGAAGTTTATTCCAAGCATCAACTACTCTTTCAGTAAAATAGTACTTTCTGAGATTAGTCTTGAACTTTCCTCCAGTTAGTTTAAAGTCATGTTCCCGTGTTCTTGATTTTGGTTTTGTGTTGAAAATACTGATCTCCTGAACCTTATTCACCCACTTTATCGTTAAAATGGCTTTAGGTCTTTTTGTGTCACTGACCCAGAACAAGGAGTCCAAAACAAGCATGGAACATAAACTGATACTGCATAATGTCATGGAGTGCAGATTCCAAAAACAGAAATCACAGCCAAGTAAAAGCACTTTGCAGAACTAGAAACAACAGGCTTTAGAGTCCCCTTCCAAGTTTGTAAAGCCAGTCTGAAGCTATTGCCAGAGTTTCTGAAAAATGCATTTCGTCATGTGCAACCACATGGAGACCTGCTGGATATAGCATAATGTACTAACATTTTGTAGGGATGCACCGAAACGTTTCGGCCGAAAACGCCCCTTTCGCCTGTTGGCCGAAATGAACAAAAGCACCAATACAGGTGCCGAAAAAGCTCACCGGCCGCCCGCCGCTCAGTAGTTCTCAGCCTTACCTGAGAAACCATCGATCCTGGAGCTGGGCATAGAGATGAGTGAAGGCCGCCACTCATCTCTATGTTCTTGGAGGACCGGAGCAATTTCACTTCCCCGTTCCGGCCATTTTTTTTTTTTTTTTTTAAGAACTAGATCAATGCGCTTTTTTTGATCCAATGCTTTACATTGCAGAGGAGAGATGTGGGGTCTTATTGACCCCACATCTCTCCATAAAGAGGACCTGTCACTAATTATTTCTATCACAAGGGATGCATGCATTTCTTGTGATTAAGAATAAAAGTGATTAAATTTTTTTTTTAAAGGGAAAGTGCGGAAATGAAAAAAAAAAGTTTAAAGTGCCCCCCCCCCCCCCCCCGTGCTCACATGTAGTGGTGCCCGCATATGTAGGCCATGCCCGCATATGTAGGCCATGCCCACATATGTAAACGGTGTTCAAACGAACGTCAGAGCCAGAGCAATAATTCTAGCACTGGTCCTCCTCTGTAACTTTACACTGCTAACCTGTAGAAATTTTTTTTTAAAGCATCACCCATGGAGATTTTTAAATACCGCAGTTTCACGCAGTTTTAAAGCGTGACATGTTTGGTATTTGTTTACTTGCCGTAACATCCTCTTTTATATTTTACAAAAAAATTGGGGTATATATTTTTGTTTTGTTTGTTTTTTTTTTTAATCAAAGTGTATTTTTTTCAAAAAAATATATATTTATTTTTAAAAACTCCGCGTTTCGGCCAAGTGCATTTTGAATTTTTAGTTTCGGCACCAGAATTTTCATTTCGGTGCACCACTAACATTATGTATTGCTGTTTTTTTGACTTCCTGAAATGTCTCTCCTTTTTAGACCTCAGGAGAAAAATTGGGAAATAGCATGATCTTAGAGCCCTTACATGCTATCTCAACAAGGTCCTGGACTCTGTGTAAAATGAGCTTTGTCCTTTTAGTTTAACAGGCATAACAGCAACAGGAGTGGACGGTTCTTAGAGGTAGAAGAGGAGTAGGAACCCTGTGCTCTTTCTCAAGAGAGTTGAAAGGTGTTTTTTATGCCCATGGTGGTCGGCAGCCATTGCTCAATAATGTTTGTAGGGTTGGAGTCCTCAGATTTTTCCAGGAACTTCATCACCCTAATGTTGTTACATCACAGCCTGTTTTATAAATCCTCCGTTATTACAGAAATTTCTTCAGTACTCGGCAAAGTGGCTTTGACGTCTGCTTGTCAACGTCTAGCGGCATCCTCCAGATCACAAACTCTTCCTTCTAAGGCTGGGGTATGGTCTCTAATGAGGTGTATTTCTTATTTGGGGTATACACCTCTCTCTGGGTGGGGTTCCAAGGTTTAGATGCATGAACGGGGTCTGAGAGGCATTGGAGGATAGCAAAAGGCTACTCATTAAGACAATTTTGTCATTCAGCTGTCAATGTCGGTCTTGCCCCACAGGCATGAAGGCTGAAATAAGGATGCTTCCTGGTCCAATTCAGGGCCACTTGTGTCCTCCATTGTGCGTGCACAAGTGACCCTATATTGCTCCACGAGTCAGGCTTACAAATTCCAGTTAGCGAGCCTATATATATGGCATACTTTTGATGCCTTGTTGCAACATCCTTTGCCTGATCTCATTGTGGCTTACACCTGGTCAAGGGAGAAGATTCTTTGAGAGGACAGATCTGAGGCTTGAAAAAATTAATTTCAAGATCAATAAGCGGGGGCACCTTTCCGCACATCTGCTCATATAGAGGTGCAGGCCATGCTCCCTGACCCAGATCATGAAAGCAGATCAGGAACTCGCTGGTTCTGAATTAGTGATTGAGAAAGACAGCAAGGCAACTATCATTTTCAGAAAGCAGTCACCAGTGGCAGCCTCCTTATTTCTCTCAGCATAGGTTTCCTTTAACTGAAATAGCTGTAATCTTTCCTTATTCAAATGGTCTACAATTTCTGATATGCAACACTGTAGATGTAAAACTCCTGACAATGCATGTCCTTACTCTTTACATGGTAGATTCTTCTTTTGTTTTTTGTTTTTTTGGTTTGAGATACAGTGATACCTCAGTTCACGAACGCTTCTGTTCATGAACAACTCTGTCCGTGTACAGAAGAGTTTGCAAAAATTTGTTTCAGTTCGTGAACTCCGCTTTGGTTGACGAACACGAGCCGCAGCCATCTTCCCTGCTCTGTCAGGTGGTTGTGACTTCCTGTAGACAAGATCATAGTCACAGACAGACACTGAAAGTGTACTGTGAAGACACTTACAGTACTGAGAAGCTTTTTGGTGTCCTTTTTAGCACATACTGTGCTGTACATCCCTGTGCACACTTAGCTTTTTTGTATGCTGTTTAGCACATACTGTACCGGATATCCAGTATGGCTCCAAAGAAAATTCAGAGCAAGCATGGTGGTAAGAAGAAAGTGCGGAGCAGTAATGATGGTGACAAGAATGTGTAGAGCAAGCATGTTGTTAAAAAGAGAGTGCAGTGTGGTAATGAAGGTGACAAGAACGTGCAGAGCGGTAATGAAGGTGACAAGAACGTGCAGAGCGGTAATGAAGGTTACAAGAATGTGCAGAGCAAGCATGGTGGTAAAAATAGAAGGCAGAGCAAGAATGGTAAGAATAAGGTTGTGAAGAAAATAACCATTGAGTTGAAGAAGGAAATTGTAGAAAAGCATGACTGTGGTATTCGTGTGACTGATCAGGCCTCAGAGTACAAGATGGCGAAGTCGACAATCTCGACTATTTTGAAGAAAAAAGCTGCCATCAAAGGAGCTGATGTAGCAAAAGGAGATGTTAACCAAGCAGAGGAAGCAAGTGCTGGAAGAGGTGGAAAAGCTTTTGTTAGTGTGGTTCAATGAGAAACATCTGATAGGTGATAGCATTAGTGAAGCTATGATCTGTGAAAAAGCCAGGAAATTGCACAGTGATTTACTGCAAAAAAAAAAAACCCTCTACAAGTTCAGCAAGTGAAGAAATTTAAAGCCAGTAGATGGTGGTTTGAAAAATTCCACAAGAAAAGTGGCATCCACAGTGTGGCAAGACATGGTGAGCCTTCCATTTCTGATAAGGCCGCTGCAGAAGCCTACACAAAAGAATTTGCGGAATTCATGAAGGCAGAAAGATATGTCGCTCAACAAGTGTTAAACTGTGATGAAACAGGGCTGTTTCAGAAAAAGATGCTGGGCAGAACCTATATCATGCAGAAGGAAAAGGCACTGACAGGGAACAAGCCCATGAAGGACAGATTGACCCTTTTGCTGTATGCAAACGCAAGTGCCGATATGAAGATTAAGCCACTATTCCCAGACCCCTCATATATTCAGGGAACAGAATGTGAACAAGGCCAGACTGCCTGTCATATGGAGGGCCAATGCTAAAGCTTGGGTCACAAGGCAATTGTTCATAGAATGACTGCACCCACCATAAGAAAATATCTTTCTGACAACCAACTGACTGAAAAGTGCCTTCTTCTGATAGACAGTGCACCGGCACACCCTCCAGGCTTGGTGCATGATATGGATGCTGACTATGACTTCATAAAGGTCAAGTTTCCCCCCCCCCCCCAACACGACACCTTTTCTACAGCCCATGGACCAGCAAGTGATCTGCAACTTCAAGAAGCTGTACACAAAGGCGCTCTTCACTAGGTGTTTAATGTCACTGAAGAGACATCTTTGAGTCTGAAAGAATTCTGGAAGAAACATATCAATGTTCTCCACTGCATCAACCGGACATTAAACTCAGCCTGGAGGAAACTGGTCAGACTGTGACTTTGAAGGGTCTGATGCAGAGGTAGTGGACGAGATTGTGTCCATGGACAAGAGTATGGGTCTGGACGTCGATGGTGCAGACATAGAAGAGCTTGTTGAGGAACATAAAGAGCAACCGACAATGGAAGAACTTTCTGAACTCCAAAGTGCGCTTATTAAGGAGTATTCCACTGAGGAGGAGGTTAGCAGTGATGCCATAAAATCCATTATGGAAAAATGGAATGGGTTCCATGATGTTTTTGAGAAGCACCACCCCAACATAACTGTAACGAACAGAGTGTTGAATCTGAACGATAACATGGTCTCTCATTTCCAGAGGGTTATGCAGCGCAGGAAAAGACAAGTGACATTGGACAGATTTTTCACCAAAACTGAGCATGCAGCTAAGAGACAAAGAGAGGAGACCCCTGAAGGAGATCTCCCCAATGTCCTTATGGAGGGGGACTCTCCCTCCAAACAATAGCCGCCTCCTACCCCCCCTTCCTGTCCTCCATGCCAGAAGTCATCTCAAGCAAAGTTAGTGTTCCCTCTCTTCGTACTGTACTGTAGTTTCATATTTATGTGGTTCAAAAACAAACAAAAAAAAGTTCAGAATGGATTAACCCTATTTACATTGAACCTTATAGGAAAACTTGATTCGGTTGGTGACCAAATTCGGTTCACGACCACGTACGTAGTGGTCAGAACGGATTAACCTGATTTACATTGCACCCTATGGGAAAATTTGCCTCGGTTCGCGACCAGAGTCGTGGAACAAATTAAAGTGATACTAGACCCATAACCGTAAAATCAGTCTGTATATGCAGTAAAGCATGCTTGTTATACTCACTGTGAAACCTAAGGGGTTAATCCTCTGCATTGTGTAAAAAGGCTGTTTGATCCTTTCTTCTCTACCCCTCCACTTGTTGAAATGACCACCTGATACAGACTGAATCCATAGTCACATGCTCAGTTTGGTGTGTATTGCTAGAGAGGGTTTTTTTTTTTTTTTTTTTTTTTCTTGGGAGAGTGCATGTGATCAGCACAGAGCCAATCGGCACTGTCCGCAGAGGGTCAGGACTTTCACACCCTCCTAGAGCAGAAAGAGCTTTAATCAGTGCTCTGCTGAAGTCACAAGACTGCTCTAACTGCTGATGAGAAAAGGTATTTAGCCATTTATATTTACAAAAATAATTGCATTTCCATGTTCTGTGTACTGTGGGAGACCAGATAGTCAATGCAGGGTCCTGGGTTTAGTATCACTTTAAGTTCGTGAACCGAGGTATTACTGTATATGTACAAGAGTAGACTAGTGCAGGACAAGTATAGCACCAAAAAAGCCAGTAGAAATCAATGAAAAAAAACAAAAAAACTGTTTTGTTTTTTGTTTGATACTTTTGTAAACAAATCCAAATGCATTACAAATTATTGGCGACAGGTCCTGTATTATAGATATTTCAGATCTATGCTGTTTTTTTCCTAATGTGTAGTCTAATGTAAGCCATCTCTTTGTGTCCAGGTAAGGAGATCACACTACTTATGCAGACTTTGAACACACTGAGTACCCCAGAAGAGAAACTGGCTGCTTTGTGCAAGAAATATGCAGAATTGGTGAGACATTTAAACAATGACACTGTGTGGGGTTAACAGAGTATCAAAATTGGACATCTGATTGATTGTATTTTCACTGATTACATTTTCTTTTCCTGAAAGTTGGAAGAGCACAGGACTTCCCAAAAGCAAATGAGGATTCTTCAGAAAAAACAGAGTCAGCTTATTCAAGAGAAGGACCAACTACGCAATGAACATAGCAAGGCCATCCTAGCTCGTAGTAAATTGGAGAGTCTGTGCAGAGAACTACAAAGACACAACCGCACACTGAAGGCAAGTGTAATCTGAATCATTTAGTTCTAGGTGCAGATTTATTATTTCTTACCACGGATTGCGCACACCAGGGTTTCTTCTACGTATCAGTGGTATGTTAAGCATTATAGTATTTCTTTATGTGATGGATTTAGGGGTAAGGTAATATTTATAGTTATAGGAGTTAGGTGTAGAGTATAGTTAGGTTATGAGTATGTTCAGTTTAGGAGCTAATATTAGTTTGAGCTTTAGTTTTGCATTGCTCATAGCCATGAACTTTCTGTGTTTAATTTTCTCAGGAGGAAGGGGTACAAAGAGCCCGAGAGGAGGAAGAAAAACGGAAGGAGGTAACCGCTCACTTTCAGGTGACCCTCAATGACATCCAATCGCAGATGGAACAACATAATGAGCGCAACACTAAGTTACGTCAGGAAAATGTGGAGCTGGCTGACAGGCTTAAGAAACTGATTGAACAGTATGAGCTCAGGGAGGAGGTAAGTAGCAAGAGGGAAAAAATACTGAGTAAGATGTCAAGTCAATGAGCCTTCTTTACCAGCACTGCATTTGCTATTCAAATACAAACAACATTTGCAGAATTTTACAAGAAATGGCTGCTTTTGGCTTGCTTTTTCTTCAGTTTATTTGCACCTCAATGCTGCCTATAAAGAAAAGCAACACAAAAAAGGTCAGCCTCTGAACTGCCATGTGTACTGCATAATTTAAGTCAATGGGATTTTGCTGACCTGCTTTTAATGTGCATTCCGCACCTGCAAATTCAGGAAAACAAAACCTGTCAACATGAGGACTATGAAAACATTAAGCAATACTCCTGGACAATTGTTCAGCTGTTGTGAAGTGCATGACAGTAAAATTTGTCTTTTTTTTTTTTTTTTTTTTGTGGAATCAGTGTTCTAAGGCACTGAGCAAGGGCTGGGATTTTTCTTTATGAAAATTAAAGTGTTTTCACCTATAAGATGTTGCACAATGTAATATGAAATGAGACAACCAGAAATGAATGGACCTATTGGCATTATTGTTCAGGTATACCTATTTACTGTACCTTAGGTTGGCCATACATTAATCCTTTTTTTTTTTTTTCTTTCATTCAACCAGTTGGTGGAGCAAAAAAAAAAAAAAAAATACAATTCCCCCATCCACATACTGGATGGGGGAAGCACTCCCTCTGTGCTATTGTATTCTGCTGGCAGGAAACCTTCCTCGTCGTCAGAATACAATGATCAGTCCATGTATGACCGACTTTACCCTTTCTGAGCATGACTGCAGACCCTGGTAATGATAGAGTACACGAAGACATTTGATGCTCTGCCATTCTGTTTGAACTTATTGTTGATAACACACTACATACAATATCACATAACAGCAAATTGTAATTAAAGCATAATAAAGCCCAAGAGCAAAAGTTTAATATATTGCAGTTTTTAAGTTCTTAGGTGTAGTGGGTTTGTTAGTTTTTTCAGGATAAGAACATTTTAAAGTGATTCTAAAGGCTTAAATATTAACAAAAAAAAAACCAAGCATGTGTATACTTAAAGTGGAGTTTCAGTCAGTTTTGTGTTTATTAAAAGTCTGCAGCTACAAAAACTGTAGCTGCTGACTTTTAATAAACCCACTCACCTGTCCCAGGGTCCAGTGATGTGCTAACCCTCGCGCACCGTCCCTTTTTTACCTCTTCTCTCCTCAATGCCGGCATCACAATTGTGGGCACCAGGCTGTGACAGCTTGCGCGCTTCACAGCCAGGTGCCCACTGCGCGTGCGCGAGTTGTGCTGCGCATTCTGTTTGGCCTGGCAGTCTTCTGGGACCTGTGAAGGCTCCCAGGAGACTGCGGGAGGAAGGAGGGAGCCGATGCTTGTCAAAACCAGGTACCGCTCTCCCCCTCCCCCCCAAAAGGTGCCAAATATGGCAGTGGAGGTGGGGGGAGGCAAACGGAGCTTCCACTTTTGAGTGGAACTCCGCTTTAACTGCTTTGTGCACTGGTTTTGCACAGAGCAGCCTGATCCTCCTTTTCTCGGGTCCCCTGTTGGCACTCCTGGCCCCTCCCCCCTGTCGGGTGTCCCCACAGCAAGTATCTTGCTATGGGGCTCATGAGCATGCGCCCTCCCCATCCACTGCGCCATGTGTCCAATCACACACGGAGCAGTGGTTTGGCCCCACCCCTTCTCTCTCTTATTGGCTCACTGGCTGTGATTGACAGCAGCGGGAGGAAGTCCCGAGATAGCCGAGACTCCAGTGCATATTGCTGGATCGAGATGGGGCTTAGGTGAGTATTGGGGGGGCTGGGGAGGATTCTGCATAGAGAAAGTATTTTAGCTTCATGCATAGAATGCATTAAGGTAAAAAACTTTCAGCCTTTACAACCATTTTAATAAAGTACAGAAAAAGTTTTTTTACCACATACTTACCTGTAAAATCCATTTCTTGGAGTACATCACGCAACACCGAGCAGGCTTTTCATGACTATGTGGGTTATAGGCCACCTATAGGTGGATGGACACTGGCCGACCAATCAGAAAGGAGGTCCTTTCCCTATATAACCCCTCCTATACAGTAAGTACCTAAGTTTTTGAAGCAAGCAGTGACATTCCAGAAAGAGGGGTGGGACCTCTGTGTCCTGTGACGTACTCCAAGAAATGGATTTTACAGGTAAGTTTGTAGAAAAAAATCCAATTTTCTTAATCGTAAATGACAAGACACAAAGCATGCTATTCATGACCTATGTGGGATGTCCCAAAACAATAAGAAATTTGAGGGGAGGGTGACACCATGATAGCCACCGTCAATCCCTCAGGACCTACTCAGCCATCCATAAAACACTGTGGCCAAAGGCAGAATCCTCTGCAGCTCTGACATCCTCCCTGGGTAGAACCTTGTGAATGTGTGAACCCAAGACCTTGCAAACCTGAGTCTGCGACACTTGATGGCGGATTGCCCAAGATTCCCCCACACTCTTGGTGGAGTTTGCCTTCACCCGAAAGGGTCGGACTTGATAATTCCAGCCTATGGTTTGAAAGGTAAATTGAGAAATAGTCGCCTCGTATGCCGCCTCCCCCTTCTGGGCCCCTCTGGCAGCACAAATACAGCATCTGACCTGCTGACCTGTGCTGTCACCTTCAAGAAGACCCTTACAGCATGAACCACATCCAAGGTATGCAGAGATCTTTTTCTTGCTGACTGAGGCCTAGGAAAGAATGAAAGGCAGAACTATGTCCTGAATGAGATGAAAGCTAGAAACCACCTTTGGTAAAAAGCACGGATTAGGTCTCAACACCACTGATGCAAAACCAGAAATGGTTCTCTGCAAGATGGAGCTGCCAGCTCTGTCACCCTTCTCGCAGAAGTGATTGCCACAAGAAACAACACCTTACGAGTCAACACGACCAGTGGAATCTCTTTAAGGTTCAAATGGTGTATTTTTTGGAAAATCTCCAAAATCAAGTTCAGGTCCCAAGGACAAAGGCAAACTGACAGGAGGCGCCATATGCATCACTCCTTGTAAAAAAAAGAGTGTGGATCAAAGAGTGAGACTCAATGGGCCTCTGGAAAAAAATAGCTAATGCTGAATGGTGACAACAGCCAAATTCTTCAGCAACTCTGAAGAAATGACAGAATCCTGCCAGTCACATTCTTTCGTGGGTGCCATTTGTGAACCTCACACCAAGCAATGTATGCCTTCCAGATTCTGTAATACATGTTCCTAGAAACTTCCTTTCTAGCACCCAAAATGATGGGGATGACTGAATCTGACACTCCCCTTTCCTCCAGAATCTGGGTTTCAATAGCCACGCTGTCAAATTTAGTGACCGTAAAACTGGGTGCAATATAGGACTTTGAGACAATAGGTCTGGCCGATATGGCAGGGCCCTCGCCCATCTGCTGCCATCTTCACTTTGTCCGCGTACCAGGCCCTCCTGAGCCAGTTCAGAGCAATCAGTATCGCCAGAATAGATTCCTCCCGAATCCTGCGTAAGAGATGTGGCAGCAGCTGGGTCAGAAGAAAGGCATAAATCAGTGAGAACTGGTTCCAAGAGATCACTAAGCCGTCTACCTGCCGTGCGAGGGTCCCTTTGGACACAAAAAGACCAACCTTTTTGTTGAACCTGGATGCCAATAGATCTACATCTGGGCAACCTCATTCCTGCAGATTTCCTTGACTGCATCAGTATGCAAAGCCCATTCCTCAGGAATTAATTGCTGGCGACTAAGAATAATCTGTCTGCAAATTTTCTACACCTGGAATGAACACTGCTGACAGACTTGGAACATATCTCTTTGCCCAGGTCAAAATGTAGTTCACCTTCTGAGCACCTCAACTCCTGGTACCACCCTGGTGGTTGATGTATGCGACTGCTGTGGCGTTGTCAGATTGAATCCTTACATGCCAACCCTGAAGCCTGGATGTGCAATACCTCAGAGCCAGCCTCACTCCTCGAAGTTCCAGAACATTGATGGGAAGAACCCTTTCCTGTGGAAGCCATGTTCCCAGATCTGTGGGCTCCTGAACGGCCCCCCCAACCTGAAAGGCTGGCATCGGTGGTTACCAACCTCCACACCACTGGTCGAACCAATCTTCCCTTCTCCAAATTGCGAGTTATCAACCACCAGTTTAGGCTCTGCTGCACCTCTGGAGACCTATAGTAATCCAGGGCCGAAATCTTTTTGTCCAAACAGACAGAATGTACCTTTTGCAGCAGTCTGGAGTGTAATTGTGCTTAGGTAATAGCCTCGAACGAGGACACCATCTTCCCCAGCAACCTCAAACAGAGGTGAATCTTGGCCTTCAAACTGCAAACCTCGTTCCTCCGGGCACAACATTTCCCTGGAGGTAGAAATACCTTTGCCTGAACCATGTCTAGGACCATCCCCAAGTACTCCAGGCTCTGGACTAATTTCAGGGCCGACTTCTTGAGGTTGAGGACCCAGCCCAGCTGTTCCAGGATCTGCATTGTAAGGACCACATGCTACTTCAGATCTAGATCTGGCACCAACTGACTTCTGAGCAAGAGATCGTCTAGATAACCTATGACTGATACGCAACGAGTTCAGTGTAGCCCCAACACCAGAGCAAGAATTTTTGTGAACACTGTGGAAGTTGTGGCCAACCCAAATGGTAGTGCTACGAACTGGAACTGCTGAGCCCCTACCACAAACCGCAGAAATCTTTGGTGAGGAATGAATATTGGTACAATATTGGTATGCATCCCTGATGTCTATGGATGCTAAAAAATCTCTCTCCTGTAGGGAGGCCACTACTGACTGAACCGATTCCATATGAAAGGATTGGACAATTAGGAACTGATTTCGCCCCTTAAAGTCCAAAATGAGCCTTACATCCCCATTTGGTTTTGGGACTGTAAACAGGTTTGAATTAAACCCCTGAAACCTTTTGCCCACTGGAACCTCCGTGATTACTCCCTGAGCCAATAGGAAATTGCCTGAAATAAAGCTCTTCTTTTCTTTGGATTCGTTGGTACATTTGACCTTAGAAACCGGGGAGATGGAAATACCCGAAATTCTAGTCTATACCCCAGAGAAATCGTGGAAATGACCCATTTGTCTTGGATTAGAGCCTTCCATGCAGCCACAAAATTCAAAAGCCTTCCCCCCTGAACAAGTGGGGGCTCCCCTTCATAAGGAGGCGTACTTTGGATCTGTCTTAGATGACTTTTGCCCAGGGCCTCCTTGGGTTTTGATTCTGAGATCTACCCCTAGCGGCTGGGACCTGTGTGTGGTGAAACGACTGCCTGGTAGATGAGGGCCCAGCAACCTAAGCCCTTGACACCTTAAAGGAAGGACGTTTTGGATTTCCTTTTAGAGGGTAGAAGAGTAATTTTCCCCCTGGAACTTTTTTGGATATATTTTGTCCAAATTGTCCCCAAACAGCCGTTCCCCATGAAAGGGAAAATCTGCCAACATGCATGACCGTTCTGATGACCAACTCTTCAGTCACAAAACCCTGTGCATGTGCACTGATAAGCGAAAAATTTGGTGAGCTGAATCCTTAAGAGCATCAACCACAAAACACAACGCTGAATATCCTCCAAATCCTCGGCCGAGCATTCCCCCCTGCACTGATGGTCTTCCAATCTGCTGCTTGACGCGGTCAGAAAGGCTTTGGCAAATGCCAATAGCTGCCACAGCTGGCAGTGCGGCAGAACCTGCCAGGGAGAAGGAGGCCTTAAGGAGAGAGAGACTCCAGCTTCTTTTCCGTTGGGTCCTTTAAAACCTGTACATTATCCACAGGACATGTTAAAGATTTATTCAGGGATGAACCAGCTGCATCCACTACAGGCAACCCCTATTTCTTAACAAACGTTTGTTCCATGGGGTACAAAACAGAAAACCTCTTTGGTAAAACATAAACCCTGTCTGGTGATCCCAGTCAGCATACATAATTTGCTGCAGATGTGGATGAACCGGGAAGGCCTGAGTACTCTGTGAAGGCTTCAAAGAGCCCAGGGAAGAATAAGTAACCTCCAGAGGTTTCTATCGGAGGTAGCCTGAATCCAGACCGTACCATATCAGTGAGGCCTTAGACTAAAAATCTGAGACTGGGAGGCAGAGACCTCCTGCTTCTCCTCAGACAGAAATTCTACTGCCTGACCTTCCTCCAGCTCTTCTTCATCCTCAGGCTCCACCCATTCCTGCTCCAGGATTGGTGGTTCTAGTGACTGGGATCTATCACCGCTTGTTGGTCCCCTGAGAAACTGATGCAATCATCCCAGCGATCTTCTCTTCTAAACTCACTAAGGCTGATGCAAGATCATCCTTGGTTACACATGCTGAGGCAGAAGCCATAGTAGCCACAATGCCAAATAGATGTAGTGGCTCAGACTGCCCAGTCACTTCTGGCCTGTCAGGAGAGGATATTAAACGGACCTTCGGCTAGATTCCTCAGAACCTGGCAGTGGTATATTAGTGCCCTTTCCTGCTGCACCTTCCCCACTCCACTTTCGGAAAGACATTAGATAGCGTAAACCTGTGCACCTCCAATATCCAATATCACAAGATACAGCTATGCAAGTAGTGTGCTGAAAAAACACTCAATGCAAATGCTGCCTTATGAGCCACCTAGGGCGGCTCCTGACTGATTGGTCAACACTTCCCCCTGAGGGGAGGACTCGCGTACCCCTACTGAACCGCCTGCTCTGTGTCCCGGCCACAGGAGATTCCACAGCAGCAGCAGCCCACGTGTGTCCTGGCCTCCAAATAAACAAAATATGGCCAACTTCTGTTTCCGGCCGCCCTCCCTCTAGTGGCCGACAACAAAAATTGCAAGCACATCTTGGGAACAACAGTGAGCACTCCCCCTGGTGGAAACCCGGTCACAACACCTCTCCTTTTCCCTCCAAATTAGAGTTTTTGTTTGTTTCTCCTTACAGAGAGAAAAAGGAGCCATCTTACCAGTCCTGTTGCAGGTCCCTGACTTCCGTCAGGCACCAACCTTCACCCATCACGGCGGGCATTGTCATATAGACCTTGAAAGACTCGATCCCCATGCTGAGGGGCTACTGTTTTGGACCCGTAAAGCACCCCGCTGGAGGCACCTTTGTCAGATTTACAACTGCAGAGTTCTATCCATGCGGGGTCCAGTGCCGTAAGGCTGCATTGCAGGCAAAACCTTGAAGATTCTTCTTATCCAGCCAGGCTCGGGTACCATCTATTTTAGCTCATAGCCTTCCGAATGGATCTGATTAAAGTCCCTGATTCTCTAATAGGACCATTCTGGACTTTCAGGTATGGTCCAAGAGCACAGCAACTTTTTCAGTGACCATCCACCTTGTAGACACTGGTGAAAAAACTGAGGTACTTCCTGTATAGGAGGGGTTATATAGGGGAGGACCTCCTCTCTGATTGGTGTCCATTCACCTATAGGTGGCCTATAACCCACATAGTCATGAATAGCCTGCTCTCTGTCCTGTGATGTACGATAAAGAAAAACCTGTTTATCTTGTCAGAAATGGTGTCCTGGTCACTTCATGTGACATAAATTAGAAGCAAAAACAATAAAAATGACAAAAACACAATCTCAATACCCCAAATGTAATGGAGATGAGCAAAGGTAGACCTGCTCAGCCCCTCTATTGGGGAGGTCTAGGGTGGAAGGAAGCAGTGTGTGCTGTCCAAAAATAAAGCTGTCAATTTTGGTGACTTCAATGCAGTGTGGCCCCTTTCTTCATAGCCGCATACTAATAAATACACTACATTACTGATTTAAAAGCCAGAATGGTGAATTCTTTGTGCCTTTCTACACTTTGTTTATTGGTTCCCATACTAGTAACTCCACTTATTGTCCTCTTTCTTTTCTATTGTGCAGCACATTGATAAAGTATTTAAACACAAAGACCTTCAACAGCAGCTGGTTGATGCTAAACTGCAGCAAGCTCAAGAGATGCTGAAGGAAGTTGAGGAGCGTCATCAGCGAGAAAAAGACTTTGTAAGTGAATAACTGCCTTCTTTGGTATGTCTGTGTAGTATGGTTATTAAAAGGATAGACTACTCAACATTATAGGAGTTTTAGTACATGTTGGCCATTTTAATTACTCACTGTTTTTTTGAGCAATTTTTTTTTTTAAACTTTATAAATTGTTTATTTTATCCTTGTTATTTGCATAAAAACTAAATTCAGCAAACACTGATTATAGTGTACATTTATTATGTTTAGCCAGTATTTTGGAAAAACGTAATCTATAATCTAAGCTCCAAAACTTACTATTTTAAAAGTGGTTCTAGAGCCTAAACATTTTTACCCTAATGCATTCCCTACATTAAGATAACAAATGTTTAGGTAGCAGTGTGCCCCCTCACCACTCAATATACTTACCCGAGTCCTCACTCGATCCAGCACTGTGCCAATCTGTATTGGCTCTCTCCTCTCGCTTCCTGCTCTCACAAGCTTTGCAGTGGTTCCCGCTGTTTTCAGTCAAATCCTGTAAGGAGGGAGCTGGGGACTGTGCCAAGCTGTGCTGTCTGTGTCTATGAATGCATGCAGTGCAGCTCAGGAGCAAGCCTGCAGGTGTGCCCCCATAGCAAGCAGCTTGCTGTGGAGGTACACCAAGAAGAGGAGGAGCCAAGAGCCCCAGTGAGCGAGAAAAGAAATGAGAAGAGGAGGTTCGGGGATGCTGTGTGCAATTTCATTGCTCAGAGCCGGTACATATAAACCTGTTTGTAATTAAAAAAAAAAAAAAAAAGTTAGTTTACATCCACTTTAATCACTTCAAGTCTGGACACTTTCACCCCCTTTCCAGTTCAGGCAATTTTCAGCAATTTTCAGCTTTCAACACTATCACACTTTGTGTGACAATTACTCCATCATGCAACACTGTACTTATATGAAACTGGTATCCTTTTTTTTTAGACCGCTTTCTTTCGGTGGTTTTTGATCACCACTGGGTTTTTTTTTTTTTTTTACATTGCTATGTAAAAAAAATTACCAAATTTTTTTAATAAAAAAAAAATTTTTTTTGCTTAGTTTTTGTTATAAAGTTTTGCAAATAGATAATTTTTCTTTATAAATTTGGGCCAAAATGTATTCTGCTACATTTTGGGAGTAGAGATAAGCCAAAACAGTTTATATTTTGTTTTTTTGTGAAAGCTATAGAATCTACAAACTATGGGAAATATATTTGAAAATTGATCAATTAATATCCTAAAATGCTGTACGCTGATAAGGCATATGGCAGTGATCAGGACACTGGTATGGGGTATGGCGGTGATCAGGACATTAGCATGAGGTATGGTGGTGATCCGGACGCTGGTATGGCAGTAGCCAGGATGCTTTTATGGGGTATGGCGGTGATCAGAACGCTGGTATGGGGTATAGCAGTGATCAGAACACTGGTATGGGATATGGTGGTGATCAGGGTGATGGTATGGCGGTGATCAGGACTGTGGTATGGCATATGGGGTGATCAGGATGCTAGTATAGGGTATGATTGTGATCAGGGCGCTGGTATGGAGGTGATCAGGGTTTTAGTTTGGGGTATGGAGGTGATCAGGACATTGCTATGGTGTATGGTGGTATTTTTGTGCGCACTGAGACAGGTGACAGGGCCTCCCTGCATTATTTGTTATTGTGGGGCAGTGATCAGAAACATTGGGGTGGCTGGCACAGCAGTGTTTGAGTATACATTCAGAAGTTTAGAAATCCTTCTGTAACCAATGCCATCAGTAGGTTTAGCAACAATAAGGTTGTGAAGGTCTTGAGAGAGCTCTTTGCTTTTACCCATCACAATATTGTGTGACACCTTTGTAATGACACCTTTTTATAAGCCATTAGTTGAGACTGAACCAGCTGATATTAATTTGCACTGACAAGGGGCAGGATTGCTTTCTGATTACTGATAGATTTCAGCTGGTGTCTTGGCTTTCCATGCCATTTTGCACCTCCCTTTCTTCATGTGTTCAATGCTTTTTCCCTGTAACATACCATTTTATTACACGTAATCTTAATTTCTGAACGTATTTGTTTTAGTTTCTTTGTATGGATTGCATGGGTTGTTACTGACGTGGTGCAAATTTCATGTCAATAGCTCCTTTAGAAATGCATTTACTTAGAAAAACGGTGTTCAATACTGATTTTACCTGCTGTACATTTATGTATATGTACTTTTTGCTAGTTTTCCATACTGTAAATTTAACCTCTTGCCCTCCAGAGGATTTACCCCCCTTCTTGACCAGGCCATTTTTTGCGTTACGGTGTTGTGTTACAATGACTGACAATTGCACGGTCATGCAACATTGCACCCAAATGAAGTTTGTCTTTTTTTTTTTTTTCCCACAAATAGCTTTCTTTTGGTGGTGTTTGATCGCCTGTGTGTTTAAAAAAAAAAAAAAAAAAAAAAAAAACCTGACAATTTTGAGGAAAAAAATATTTTTTACCTTTTGCTATTAAACATCTCCAGTAAAAAGATAAAAAATCTAATTTCGTCAGAAATTTAGGCCAAAGTGTATTCTGCTACATGTTTTTGCTAAAAAAAATTCCAATACATGTAAATTAATTGGTTTACGTGAAAGTTATAGCGTTTACAAATGGCGGTATATATACTGGGATTTTTGTTTTGTCTTATTTTTACTAGTATTGGCGGTGATCAGCAACTTATAGCGGGACTGAGGCGGGCATTCTGACACTGGGGGGAACTGACTTGGTGTCACTGACATCCCCACTGACACCAAAAAAAAAAGTACTGACACTGTACTAATGGCACTGGGCAGGAAGGGGTTAACATCTGGGGTGATCAAAGAGTTAACTGTATCCTTTTTTTACTGTAAGCTGTGTGTGCTATTGATGTAAAACACTTCTTTTCCTTTTATGTTTACATTGCTTTATGTTAATATTGTTAAATTTGTTGTTAATTATTTTTGTAACTGTATTCTGCATAAAACATTTAACAATGTCATTTCAAGAGATCATTTACTAGAGTTTGTTTAGGGGTTGGGTGGGGCAACTGGTGGCTAGTAACTCTAAAGGCCTGGCTAGTAGCTCAGGACTTTAAATTTTGAGCCCTGTACCTTGTATAACATTTAACAGCTTCCTGTTCACCCCATAGCAGAAATACTGCTACAGGACGGCACGGTGCGCAAAATCACGTGTGTATATATACATGATTTTTGCATCTCCGGGGTAGGGGGCGCACGCCCTACCCGCACCACCGTTCGCAGCCGTCAATCACTGGGTCCTGGCCGGTGATTACTCGTCTGCACCCGGTGATTTCCAACGAGGAGAACTGTTCTCCCTGACAGCTCGCGCACACTGCTTTGGATAGCTGTACATAGCACAGCCATCCAAAGCAGTGTGCTTACAGTGAACCACACTGACACAGCCCCCTAGTTAAAACACTCCCAGCACACACTTAATCCTTTTGAGCGCCCTTCATGTTAACCCCTTTTTGCCCAGTGCCATTAGTACAATGTCAGTGCTTTTTTTTTTTTTTTTTTTTTTTTAAGCACTGATCACTGTATTGGTGTCACTGGGGATGTCAGTGACACCAAGTCAGTCTCCCCCAGTGTCAGAATGCCCACCGCAGTCCCGCTATAAGTAGCTGATCACTGCCATTACTAGTAAAGAAAACGAAAAAAAAAAATTTCTAGTATCTATACCGCCATTTGTAAATGCTAAAACTTTCATGTAAACCATTTAATTTACACGTATTGGGATTTTTTTTTTTTTTTTAAGCAAGACATGTAGCATAGTACATGTTGACCTAAATTTTATAACTAAATTTGATTTTTTTTTTTTTAACCGCTTGCCGCCCTGCCACTGTGTATATACGTGTGCAGGGCGGCAGTGGACGCAAAACCACGTTTTAAAACGGGTTCCGCGCTCCCGACACTTTCGCCGGCAGGGGGCGCGCGGACATGCTCCCCCCGCCGACCCGCGGGTGACACTATTTGATCCAGGAGGGATCAATCATTAGATTTCAGCCAGTGATTTCTGGCTGAAATCACATGATCGGTTCCTGTCCCTATCCTGTCCTGTGTTGATATACACAGGGCAGGATATGATGTCATTCTTCTCTGCCTGGACACATTCTGTTCCAGACAGAGAAGAAGACATCCAAAAAGTGAGTACACAAGCACTACACTACAGTTAGAACACTCTAGGACACATTTAACCCCCTGATCGCCCCCCCCCTCCAGTTAACCCTTCACTGCCCTGTCACCAGTGTTACTGATCAGTGAAGCGATTTTTACTGATCAGTGTCCCTGGCGACTTCCGATAGAGTTAGCGCCCCTCCCCAGATAGCGCCAGATTGCCCGCCAGTACACCATAATCCCGTTTAACCCCCTTGATTGCCCCCCCCCCCCCCAGTTAACCCCTTTACTGCCCTGTCACCAGTGTCACTGATCAGTGAACCAATTTTTACTGATCACTGTATCAGTGTCGCTGGCGACTTCCGATAGAGTTAGCGCCCCTCCCAGATAGCGCCAGCTTGCCCGCCAGTACACCAGTAATCCCGTTTAAAACCCCTTGATCGCCCCCCCAGTTAACCCCTTCACTGCCCTGTCACCAGTGTCACTGATCAGTGAACCAATTTTTACTGATCACTGTATCAGTGTCGCTGGCGACTTCCGATAGTGTTAGCGCCCCTCCCAGATAGGGCCAGTTTGCCCGCCAGTACACCAGTAATCCCGTTTAACCCCTTAATCTCCCCCCCCCAGTTAACCCATTCACTGCCCTTCACCAGTGTCACTGATCAGTGAACCAATTTTTACTGATCACTGTATCAAACTGGCGACTTCCGATAGTGTTAGCGCCCCTCCCAGATAGCGCCAGATTGCCCGCCAGTACACCAGTAATCCCTTTAAACCCCTTGATCACCCCCCCCCCCCTCCAGTTAACCCCTTCACGGCCCTGTCACCAGTGTCATTGATTACAGTGAACAGATTTTTACTGATCACTGTATTAGTGTCACTGGTGACTTCCGATAGTGTTTAGCGCCCCTCCTAGATAGCGCCAGTTTGCCCGCTAATGCACGGGATTTTTTTTACCAAAAACATGTAGCAGAATACATTTTTGGCTTAAATTTATGACCTTTGAGTTTACGATATATTTTTTATAGTGAAAGTAGAAAAATATTGTTTTTTTTTTTTTTTTTTTTTTTTTTTTGTTTATAGCGCAAAAAATAAAAAGCGCACAGGTGATCAAATACCACCAAAAGAAAGCTCTATTTGTGTGAAAAAAAGGACGTAAATTTTGTTTACAGCATTGCATGAATCATTTGAATTAGTTGGTCATTAAGGGGGGTAAATCCTCTGGGGCTCAAGTGGTTAATAAAAAAAAAAAATATTACAGGACATGTTTAATAGCAAAAAGTCAAAAATATTTTTTTTCTCAAAATTCTTTTTTTTTTTTTTTTTTTTTTTTTTTTTTTTTTCAATAGCACAAATAAAAAATGCACAGGCGATCACATACCACTGAAAGAAAGCTCAATTCATAGGGAAAAAAAGGACATACATTTCATTTGTGTACAGCTTTGCATGACCGCGCAATTGTCAGTTAAAGTAATTCAGTGCCATAATTGCAAAAAATGGCCTTGTCAGAAAGGGGGGATAAATCCTCAGGAGGGCAAGTGGTTAACCATTTCCTGTCCAACCCATTTATATAAACTGCCAGACGGGAGCAGTGCAGGGGTGAGTTGCTATTCATAAACGGCGCCCACCATTTTAGCCTGTGGAGCGTGCGGCACCGCAATCTGGTGCCCGCTGTGACTGATTGCTGTGCGTGACTTCTGTGTGAGGTCCCGATCATGTGATCACTGATTGGCCAATCGGTGATCACAAGAAAAGTAGTAAGCAAGATGTCACTTCTGACATCATTGCTTACTACGTGTGAAATCTGTGAATGATCAGAGGTCACATGGTAGAAGGCTATTCACAACAGCCTTGTACATGTGACAAACTGTGACCAATCACAGCTCACACAGTATTTCTCAATGGCTGCAAGAATGCAGCTAGAGAGAGAGAGAAATTATTGATTTTATAGCCTTTATGGGTGTTAAAGCAATCGGCGTGTAAAAAAAACAAAAAAAAAAAAACCTTAATCACCCCCCACAAGTAGTACAGTGTCACTATGGTGACACTGTACTGCTAGGGTGATAGGGTGACAGTAATAAAATAAAAATGTACAAAAAATGTTTGAAAAATTATAATTTTTGGTTATCAATTAATTTGCGTTTTTTTTTTGTTTTTTTTTTTACTAAAATTTTGGCAAAGGAAGATTATTTATTTGCAAAATTGTATAAGAAAAACACTTTTTTTTTCAACATTTTTGGACTTATTCATTTATATAGCAAAAAAATAAAAATCCCAGTGGTGAATAAATACCACCAAAATGACGTTTTTTTTTTTTTTTTTGTTTTGTTTTTTTTTTTATCTGTCTCAACAAAATGCTAAAAAAACTAATATGGGTACAGTGTTGCATGACCGCGTAAATGTCATTCAAAGTGTGACAGTTCTGAAAGCTGAAAATTGGCCTGGACAGGAAAGGGGTAAAAGTGTCCGGACTTGAAGTGGTTAATGAATGCACAGTTGGACTAGATTGAACATTTAAAATATGCTAAAGTAAGTGGTGGCATGCTATAAACATTGGTATCGTGTGCAGATTTTATTTATTGATGTCCTGGTGGATCAAATTATATATTAATATTTTCTGTGTGATATCCCAGTAAGTCTAATCATCCAATCCTCCTGCATCTACAGCTCCTAAAAGAAGCGGTGGAATCCCAGAGAATGTGTGAGCTCATGAAGCAACAAGAAACCCACCTCAAACAGCAAGTAATCCATGCTTTTACCACTTACCTAACTTCTATGAGAACTGTATTTATTTGAGCACTAAAAGTCAACCTTTGTGTTTACTTACACCTAGAATTGTTTTAAAGGATATATGGGAGATGAGGGCTGCCTGGCACAATCACGTTTCCGTGATTGTATGACATTGTTAATCTTTCAACATTTCTATATTCAGCTGGCTCTGTACACGGAGAAGTTTGAAGAATTTCAGAATACACTTTCCAAAAGCAATGAAGTTTTCACAACCTTCAAACAGGAAATGGAAAAGGTGATCACTTAGTTTCTATTTTTCTGAGCATTAGGTTTTTTTTTTTTAAATGTTTACAAGCAATTAACTATTTTTCTCTTCAGATGACAAAGAAGATCAAAAAGTTGGAAAAGGAGACCACTATGTATCGCTCCCGATGGGAAAGTAGCAATAAGGCTCTATTAGTGATGGCTGAAGAGGTGAGAGGCACATAAAATAAAGGGCAAGCTATAGCTCGATAATTATGAGTTCGAAATGTATGTAATATACAAATTATATATATTTTGTGGGGGGTTCGCTCAGGTGGGGGGGTCACCTTCCCTGGAAAAAGGTAGTCCAGACAGCAGGTCTTTCTTAAAAATCTGAGTTTTATTTAAAAGGTTGCATGCTTAATAAATAAAACAGAAAATAAACCCTCGCCATCCACGCACTAACTAAACAGAAGTGATTCCTATCTCACAGGTGAAGGGCTTCTCCCTGTCACCAACAAAACTCAAACGGTGTGCAAACCTTTTCCTTTCTTGTACAAAGCAAAGTTTCTCAACCACAGCTCCCTCATGTATGGCTTCCTGAGTCCCAGGCCAAGAGCAGCTTCTTGCTTCAGTCCTGCTTTATTTATACCACCTGCTGGTGGTCTTCAATGGACCATAAAATTTGGTCCGGAAGCAACCTTGCCAAAGTGGCATGGAAAACCCGGACTGGACTCCACCTTAGTTTTCTAGATATGAACACATGCGAGGTGACACATAGCGTCCATCAAGCACCTCGCCTTTCATAATGTCACAATATATATACGTATAAATTTACATTGGCTTGCGGAGCTCTATTTCTTATGTTTAGAAAGCTTTCTTTTTCAAAATTGTACTCCCAGACATACAGCTAAAACACATTTGAAATGCTTATCTTAAAAACTTAACTGCCAGAAGAATAGCATAATAGTTCTGTTCAGACAGTATTGTGATCCAGAGCCAAACCTCTCTTCTACCAAAAAAATAAAAACAAATTGACTACTGGCAATTTTTTTTCTAGCTTCCAAGGGCTAAGCCACAGTATCTGCAGAAGAGGAGGAGGAGAGGGGTTATTGCCTTTGCCTTGCCATGCATTTTACAACACAGAATACCTTTTTTTTCCGGTTTGTTGTTGAAAAATATATGCAGTTTCGACGACTGCTCTTCACTCAGGAGCAGGGCTGGGACAAGGGGCGGGTGAGAAGGTCAGCTGCCATGGGCGCGCAGCAGAGCAAGGGGACAGAGAATGAATGCAATGCGGTACACCCATTTTACAACATGGATTAGCTGTGGAGGGAGGGGGCACAGTTCCAAATCCTTGCCCTGGGCGCAGTATGAACTTGCCCCTGTACTGCTCAGGAGTTGCATTCTAGTGTAAACGGGGCACAAAGAAAATCATTGTTTGCACATGTATCAATCTTTAAAGAGTGTTCCACTTGGAGCCTTGGACTTGCTGTTGTAGACATGCTGAAAGCAATTTTCAAAGGGGTTGGTTGAATTGAGAAATTGTTTGTTACAACATGCCATACAAATGTATATTCTTGGATACTTCTTTCTTTCAGAAAACTCTACGTGATAAAGAGCAAGAGGCTTTGCAGGCCAAAATCCAAAGATTAGAGAAACTCTGCCGGGCTTTACAGACAGAACGTAATGACCTTAACAAGAAGGTGCAGGGCCTAAGTGGACCACAGGTCTCTTCTGTGGAGACCACCGAGGATTGTGTGAGCTGTGCAACAGCTGCTATCAGTGAGAATGTAGAACTGAACAGCAGTGATGTGTGTGGGCAAAATGCACTTCAAGCAGCACCACCACTGCCTCCTCTTCCACCTGCCATGCCTGAGTAATGCAGACAGTGCTGCATATCTAATTAATATCCTATTTCCTTTTTTTATGATGGCTTTCACTTTTATATCCAACATTACACATCCACCCCTTGCTTTTATTTCAGTTTTTTTGAGTACCATATCTGCAATGCATGTATTGGAGGAAATAGAACCTAGCCACACATGCAGTTTACTATATTCACACCTATAGCAAACAGTGCAACAGAAGTCCCATCTGCAGGTTTATCCATTCAGTTTACAGTTTGTTGTGGTTGTTGGTAGACAATAATTGGCTTCATACTTTTTAAATAAACTCCTGGTTAATGAAAACATATTTTTTCCTGTTTTAAAAGATTTACATTCACTGAGCAATGGTGAAATTTATGGTTAAGTAGGAACAGCCATTATCTGCCATTGCTGCAATGTAAAAAAGATTATTTCAGAATATGTCTGCCACGTGCATGCAATTGCTAGTAAAAAAAATAACATGCTATTACTGGTGCTTACTCTAGGACCACATCATTTTCCCAACAGTTCCTATATTCAGCTGGGATGCCCACCACACAATTTGCATTAAATTCAAACCTGCTTATGGGCTTATTTTTGGAGTCTTTATTTTTCATAAAAATGAATACAAAATAGTTGACGTTGACAGTGTCTACACTCTGTGCTGCTTAATAAATAGTTCTATTACAGTTCTCAAGAGTCAGTGCCCCTTTCATGTACAATACTGTTTAGAGCTTCTGTATCATTTCAGCTGAGGACTTGAGCATTCATGTCTATATACACACACACGCAGACACACACACACTGTATTTTTCACTCCACAAGATGCACCTAGGTTTTAGAGGAGGAAAACAAGAAAAAAAATATTCTGAACCAGTGTACTGCCCACATAGTACAGGAGATGACCAGAGAATGCAGACCTTTGGGGAGAGGTGGGGGGGAATGGATACCTGAATTTGACAGGTACCCACTTCCACTTCCGCTGCGATCGCCTAGGCAATCAGAAACAGAAGCTGTCCTCCCTCCCCGTAGTCTTCTGGGACACGTGACAGGTCCCAGAAGACTACGGGGCCATTCATAAGGCGCAGCGCTTCTCGCGCATGCGCAGTGAGCACCAGGGAGAGAAGATGGCCGGTGGAACTAGCGGTGGTGAGGACACTGGACCGAGGGACAGGTAAGTGGCTGTATTTGTAGCTGCTGACTTTTGTTCTTTCAGCTGGAACTCCTCTTTAAGGGGCAGCTGCTTTGGGCCTTGCCTGGCGCTGCCACAGAAGAGCTGAGCGGCCGGCCTAGTATTCTAACATGGCAGTGGCGACCGGGGGAATACCGGGCCAGCCGCTCCATATTCGCTCCATAAGATGCGCAGACATTTCCCCTTGTTGTTTTTTGAGGAAAAAAAGTGCGTCTTATGGAGCGAAAAATACAGTGTGTGTGTGTGTGTATATGTGTGTGTGTGTGTGTGTGTGTATATATATATATGGTGTGTGTGTGTGTGTATATGTGTGTGTGTATGTATATATATATATATATATATATATATATCACACACACATACAGTGCGAGTATAAAGGAGTACACCCCTTTTGAAAAGTAATGTTTTTATATCTCAATGAACACAAGAACAATTTCCAAAATTTTGACAAAACTGAGTTTTATAGAACATTTGTTTAGCTCATTACATGAAAGTAAGGTTAATAATATAACTTAGATTACAAAATCTTCAGTTTTACTCAAATTAGTTCATGCAAAAATGAATACTCCCCACAACAAAAACTACTACATCTAGTATTTTGTATGACCTCCATGATTTGTAAGGACAGCACCAAGTCTTCTAGGTATGGAATGAACAAGTTGGCAACATATTGCAACATCTATCTTTTTCCATTCTTTAAGAACGACCTTTTTTAGAGCCTGGATGCTGGATGGAGAGTGATGGTCAACTTGTCTCTTCAGAATTCCCCATAGGTGTTTGCTTGTGTTCAGATCTGGAGACATACTTGGCAACAGTGGCCTTAGATGTGTGTTTTGGATTAATGTCATGTTGGAAGAGTGCGCAACGACCAAGGGCACGGAGTGATGGTAGCATCTTCTCTTTCAATATAGAGCAGTACATCTGTGAATTCATGATACCATCAATGAAGTGCAGCTCCCCGACACCAGCAGCACTCATGCAGCCCCACAGAAGGACACTGCCACCACCATGTTTTATTGTAGGCACCATGTAGCTTTCTTTGTACTCCTCACATTTGCGACACCATACAGTTTTGAAGCCATCTGTTCCAAAATCATTTATCTTGATCTCATCACTCCAGATTAGAGTCCCAGTATTATTATTCTTTTTCATCATGGGCCGTGGCAAATTCTAGGCGGGCTTTTTTTGTGCATGGGCTTTCGGAGAGAGGCTTCCTTTGTGGATGACACCCATGCATGCCATAACTCTGAATTGTACGCCGTATTGTGTCATGGGAAACAGTCACCCCAGTTTGTCTTTCTACTTCGTTAGCGAACTGCAGTGAATTTGCATGACGATTTCATTCAGCCCTTCTCATCAGAAGATGCTAAGAAGGTGTTAACTTCCGTAGACGGCCTGGATGTCTCTGTGAGATGGTTGCAGTTTCATCACTGTTAAAATTTTGTATTCCTTTTGCTACAGTATTCTGACTGATAAGTAAAGCTTTGCTTATCTACTTGTAGTCTTCACCTTATCTTCTTGTAGCCTTCACCTTTCTTGTGTAAAGAAATTATTTTCTGTCTCAGGCCTTGTGCCATTTCTTTTCCATGTGGTTCCATTGCGGACAGCTGAAATGGGAAGCGGTTTTGTCAAGTAATGGCCTTTTTATAACCAACTGTCTGCTGGACACCTATTTAATGAATAATTGGACTCACCTGTAGTTGAATACTTGCTAATTAGGATTTTGTTGTCTAAAATGTAGCTTTGCTCCCAAGGCTTTCATTGGGGTGTATTCATTTTTGCATCATGATCTTGAATTAATTTGTTAGTAAAAATATTTTTGTGTGTGTGTGCAAATAACAAATCTTGTTTGCAATCAATGGCCCGCATTTGGGGGAGTATTTTTGCAGTATAGTGTCCCATAGAAAATGTTAATTCTGAAAGGAGAGTAAAGGTTTTCTGACAAATTTGTTATGGTGTACTATTTTATGCTGAGCACTGTATATACACTGCTCAAAAAAATTAAAGGAACACTTTGAAAACACATCAGATCTTAATGGAGAAAAATATCATACTGGATATCTATACTGATATGGACTGCGTAATGTGTTAATGTGAAGGTAAGGATGCCCCATCATTTTGAAATGAAAATTATATACCTAGAGAGGAATGAATTCAAAGACACCCTGAAAATCAAAGTGAAAAAATGATGCAGCAGGCTAGTCCATGTTGCTGAATTTTCATTGCAGCAACTCAAAATGGTACTCAGTAGTTTGTATGGCCCCCACATGCTTGTATGCATGCCTGACAACGTCCGGGCAAGCTCCTAATGAGACAACAGATGGTGTCCTGGGGTATTTCCTCCCAGATCTGGACCAGGGCATCACTGAGCTCCTGGACAGTCTGAGGTGCAACCTGGTGGCGACGGATCGACCAAAACATGATATCCCAGAGGTGTTCTATTAGATTTAGGTCATATAAGCGTAGGGGCTATTCAATGGTATCAATTCATTCATCCTCCAGGAACTGCCTGCATTCTCTCTCCACATGAGGCCTGGTATTGTCGTGCAGCAGGAGGAACCCAGGACCCACTGCACCAGCGTAGGTAGGGTCTGACAGCGGGTCCAAGGATTTCATCCCCATACCTAATAGCAGTCTGGGTGCTGTTGTCTAGCCTGTAGAGGACTGTGCATCCTCCCCATGGATATGCCTCTCCAGACTGTCACTGACCCACCACCAAAATGATCATGCTGAATGATGTTACAGGCAGCATAATGTTCTCCATGGCTTCTCCAGACCCTTTCACGTCTGGTACATGTGCTCAGGATGAACCTGCTCTCATCTGTGAAAAGCACAGGGCGCCAATGGTGGACCTGCCAATTCTTGTGTTCAGTGGCAAATGCCAATTGACCTCCATAGTGCCGGGCAGTGAGCACAGTGCTCACTAGAGGATGTCGGGCCCTCAGGCCATCCTCATGAAGTCTGTTTCTGATTGGTCAGAGACATTCATACCAGTGGCCTGCTGGAGGTCATTTTGTAGGGCTCTAGCAGTGCTCATCCTGTTCCTCCTTGCACAAAGGAGCAGATACCGGTCCTGCTGATGGGTTAAGGACCTTCTACTGTCCTGTCCAGCTCTCCTAGAGTAACTCCATGCTCTTGATATTTTGCTCGGAGCACAGCAAACCTGGCAATGGCACGTATTGATGTGCCATCCTGGAGGAGTTGGACTGCCTGTGCAACCTCTGTAAGGTCCAGGTATCGCCTCATGCTACCAGTAGTGACACTGACCCTAGCCAAATGCAAAACTAGTGAAAAACAGAAAAGATGAGTAGGGAAAACATTTCAGTGGCCTCCACCTGAAATACCATTCCTGTTTTGGGGGTCATCTCATTGTTGCCCATCTAGTACACCTGTTGTTAATGTCATTAACACCAAAGCAGCTGAAACTGATTAACAACCCCCTCTGCTACTTAACTGACCAGATCAATATCCCAGGAGTTTAATTGACTTAATGCTGTACTCTGATTAAAAAGTGTTCCTTTAATTTTTTTGAGGTGTGTGTTTGTGCATGCGTGTGTGTGTTTGTGCGCGATAGTAATTTGTGAACTGAAGAAAAATAAGGTTTAAGTACAGCTGTGTTTCTTTGCTAAAGTAAAGGTGATTTTACAAAAAAAAAAAGCTCTCTATCTTAACTTGTCTCTTACATGCATTGCATAGCACTGTGCTGCACATTTGTAGGCTAAAAGTGCTTACGCTAGTTTTCTGACCTGCAATAATTTCTATCTCCCATTCACTTTGTTCCATTAAACGGTAAATTGAAGTGTTTTTGTTGATTTCTGTAAAA